ACCCTCTCTAAATGCACAGCATGGCTGGGTCCCAGCTCATAAGAGCTCTATATATTTTGCCCTCTATAAATGCACACTCTCTCTAAATGCACGCTTTACTATGGTCCCAGGGGGGGTGCATTTAGGGAGATTTGTCTGTATTATTAAATTCAATAATAATTTTTCAAAATTTTATTATAAATATAATTATAAAAAAATAATTTTATTATATAGTCAAATCTCACTATAATTATTATTCTTAGAGAAGCAATTGAATAAAGATAGAGATTATAATTATAAAATAAATTTTTTATTAAAGAAAGATAAAGTAATTAAAAAAAAATATAGCTATAAATAAATATAATTACAAAAGATTTGATTGTAATTTTTTTAAAAAAAGTATACAGTCAAAGTCCTTTACAACAGCCGCATTGGATTGACACTTTTGGGCCGGTATATAGGGCTTATATTATAAACTTCGCTATATCGAAAGTTTTAAATAGTTAAAAATCGGAATGTCAATACGGTATAAGCCGAATCCGATGTATACAGCGCCGTTGTAAAGGACTTTGACTGTAATTATAATAGAATTTTATATAATATGAATAACTATAAAGAAAATTAATTACAATCAAATCTCTTTATAATTACTTTCTCTATAATCACATTATATAAAAATCACAATATAATTATTATTTTTTTTAAGAACTAGCTATAATAAAGCATCTTGCTATAAGCACATTCATTATAAATTATTATTGAATCTGATAGTGTGGCTATAGAGAGGGTTAACTATATATTTTTAAACTATACTATCAGTTTCAGGATTCATTTCTTCCAAAAATCCACTGATTCTAATTGCATGCGAATTAATTAATTTAAAATGAGTTAGAACAAATTTATAATTCAAGAAATCCAATTATTCATGCTCTTCAATCGCAAGCAGATGTCAGATTACATTATTCCTTTAATAGAGAACATTGGGCATATTTACATCAATTGTTATCCGGAATTCAACTCAACTACTGACGACAATTGGACAACCACTCGACATGATGCAGTTGAATTTTGATTCAAAGGTTCATATGCATCTAAAAAAGTGAAAGTAAAATTTTAATCACTGAATCACATTAGCACTTTGTTATACTGTACGCCCAAAAAACCTCCTTTTGTTTTTTTTTAGATTGTTGCAATAATGCTGATGAAAGTCGTTAAAGAGAACGAAATAAGCCATACAAATTATTAAAGATATTGGATTGCTCTTTATGAGTTTAAAATTATACACAACGTTTTTTTTCTATTCATCTCAATTTGTCTTTCCAAGTACATGTACATATATCCCTATTTTTAGAATGAAGATCTTTGTTTGCTTAAGTTAATTAATCCAATAAACCTTTTTTTAGCGTGAAAATTAAATTCGTGTAACAACAATAGAACAAATTTCCTTTTAAGAGTATTGGTTACAATTTCCTCTTATCCAATCAGTAGACGAGAGTGCGATGTTAACATAAATGATGGTAATGGAAATGTAGGGAATGGCGCGAATGCTGGTGGAACTAACAAGGGAAACAACAACGTCAATAGCGATAATTGTGGAGGAGTAGCTGGTAGTAATAATGGAAACTAAAATATTGGCAGTAAATGCTGGTTTAGATTGAATTATAACGGAAATATAAATATCGGTAGCGATAATGGTTCATTTAATGGAACATCAGGAAGTTTTTGAAACACTTTTAATTAGCAAAATAATGCTACAAGTATAGAGCAACACATTGATATAAACTGCATTCTTTATGCATATCATGTTGTTATACACTAATTTTACTAATTTAAAAGTGTAGAACAACAACACATTTAATGTGTTGTTGTTTTACACTTCCTGATGAAATAATAACGGTGGTACTAATAATAGAAATAACAATGGAATAATAATTTGTCATCTGGTAATGGAAGCCATAATGGGAATGATAATGGTCCTGGCGGCTTTCATAATGGAATAATATTGGATCACAGAATTTTGGAAATTTGTTCCCATGAACTTATTGTTATATTATAGACATCGGTATATTATAGACATTATTGTATTATCAACGAAATTAGACTTGGAGTTTTTATTCTTAGCAACTTTAAACTAAAATAATTCTTTAATTTAAAACCATGCAATAATCGTGACAACAAATGATGATTAAAACAATAATATGCAATATTAGAATAGAACAAAGGACGTGAATGCCTTAATTTCAATTGTCCTGTCCTTGTCTCCACCAGAATCGAGTGTCGGATCCCCCAATCAATCCATCGAGTTTCGTCGATTCGATAATAGAGTTGTCAAAATCGGCTGCTATTTGTGAGGATTTGAGAGATAATAAGTTAACCAACAAATAAAGTTGTCGTGTTGAAGTTTGTAATATTGAACTTTCTATTCAAATCGTGCATAGGTCTTTGCGATAGAAAGATGAATGTCCATTTTTATCCATTCATTAGATAATAAAAATTTTATTTTTTAGGAAAACTTTCATCATTCAAGAAACTTTAAATTTGTATGCAAGAGGTTGGGCTATTAGTAAAAATTTTTGTATTTATATAATTAATTACATGTACCAAGTTATTACAGAATTCAAACTTCATTAACTACTTTATTATCGAGATTGTCTTTGTATATAATGAGTGAATTTTATACGAATGATTGATCGAAAAAATTGATTGATAGAAAGAAATCAATGTTTTTTATTATTAGAGCACATCAATTTGGAATTTCGTCAAGATCTTCCTTTTCTATTAAAAACAATGCTTGTTCTTGCTTGGATAAACAGCAGTATATATGAATAATGAAAATTAAAAATACATTCTATGCAACAGAATAACAATAATAGTAATAATACAATAACAATGGTTTAAATTAACTTTATTTCTGGAAATGGGTCATCACATATTTTCCAATATTTTGGGGACCATTATCGTTTCCATTATCATTACCATTGTTTGATCCATCAGGGCCGTTAAAGTTTCCATTACCGCTTCCATTATCACTTGACAAGTTATGATTTCCCGAATTATTTCCGTTCTTGCTACCACCATTATAGTTTCCATTATGCGCTCCGTTATTATTGCCAATATTAGAGTTACCGTTGTTATTTCCTGAAGTTCCGTCCTTAGCATTTCCTACACCGACATAATATCCATTTCCACTGCCAACATTCTTATTTCCATTGTTGCTTCCACCGACAATAGAACCATTGTCGCTACCGACGTTGTTGTTTCCGTTGTTAGTTCCCTCGGCCTGCGCGCCATTCCTATTTCCGACGTTGTAGTTACCGTTGTTGCCCTTTGATGAAGAGTTTCCATTTCCACTGCCAACATTTCCATTACCACCGTTGTTATTTCCTACATTTCCTTTGCCGGTATTGCCACACCCAATGTTTCCATTTATGCCTACATCACAACCAGGTGGTAAATATGATACTGGAAGTGAGCTTACAGCCGAAATAGTGGCCAAAAGAGCTACTAATAAACTCGTGTATTTAACCATTTTGATTTAAAAAGAAAGAATAAAATACAACACTAATTAGAAAGGTTTAATTAGATATTATTGTATTATAGGAGGATAGAGAGAGAATAGAGAGAGAGAGAGAATATAGAGAGAGAGAAAGAGAGAATGGAGGGAGTAAAGAGGGAGGAAGAAATATTGAGCTCCTACTCTTTTTCCACTCTCTCTATATATATATCAAATGAAACCATGCTATGATAAAAGAGGAAAAAGGCTATGCTAAATAAAAATAGAAACAATATCTCTCTTTCAATAAATTGATTCGTCTGCTAATTATACAGACCATATGCAAGAATAACATTGTGTACAACTATCGCAATTGTTTTGATCAATTAAACGGAAATATGGAATTATCAATATGTAAATATCAATGTGTATTTTGTGCATGTGTATTATTATTTTGTATTTTCCAGATTTCGTGTCAATTTAAAATTATTACTTACAACGAATCTGTATGTTTATAATTAATATTACACGTAATTAACGAAATACCTACAAATGGTAATTGATTGGGTAACAAAAGAGTTTCTTGCAGCATCCGCTGCCTGAAAATCCGATCGATTTAAAATTTGGGTGCACGATGTTAAACAAAACTATCTGCGATCAACCAATAAGTAATTTTTGATCCATTATGGGTGCGTTAAATCCAGATCCAGTAGGATTACCCGAAACCCGTTTTCCCCGACATATATACTCATTTTTGTTAATTACACAAAAAATAAACAGATATAAAAAACCCCTCTTCAATTAAATCTTATGATTTTACAGTTCACACGCAAAGTAATGACGGAAAACTTTTTACCATATAATTGGCCTAAAAAAGGTTGGTGTGAATAAATCTCTATCCCGAAATGTATCTTTAACTTTTGAAAGCTGCAATACATATTCCAATTTGACACAGAGTCGATCATGAAGGGCAGGGCATCAATTTGACTCATGATTACGCGGAATTTTACTAAGTCAATGAAGTATTTGTCCATTAAGAAAAAATGTCCAGCTTAAAGAATTGTATTAAAACATTTTATCAATATAATATCACTGGTTAAATTTTGTATTTACCTCTTAAATAAAAAGTTGATAGAATTTTTAACATGAGTTTTTGTATTATATACATGCAAAATTTAATATTTCTAGTATAGAACTCTTTATAATAACACATTTTAAAAATTTTTAAATAAATTTATAGTAATAATTCCAAGAATATAACTCTATTATAATAATTATTTGTTATATAATTATATTTTTCTTAAGATATACTCTTGAAACTATTATTATAAAATTCATTAAAAATTTTTAAAAATGTGTTACTTATAAAACTTGAATTATTAAAAGTTTTATAAATTAACTAAATATATTTGTTTTTGTTTATTTTTACTTTAAAATTTATTAAGTTTAAAATTAATATTTAAAATCTAATTTGAGTTTTTTTCAATTATTTGAATTTTATAAATGCTAAAAATATAAAATTATATATATAAATTAAAGTTATTAATAATTAGAGTTATTAATCAGTATATTTTTTAAATCTATATCAATTTGTAGTTCTAACTATAATTTACAAGTTTATTTAAAATCTTCTTGAATATTTACTTGAACTCAAATTAGAATTTTAATCAGGTTCAAGTCTAATTCAAAGTTCAAATCAAACACAAATCAAATTTTATTTGATTCAAATTTTTGAATCAAACTTTTAATCAAATTTGAGTTTAATTCAAGTTTGAACTGAATCAAACTTTTAATCAAATTTGAGTTTAATTCAAGTTTGAACTGAATCAAACTTTCAAACTCTATTTTTAATTATTTAATTTTATTAATAAGTTATATAATATTTGTATTAGTTTGTTTTAAATTTTAATTTCACTCTTTTTTTTCTAATTAAAATTTTTATCTGGTTTTATATATTTAATTTACAAGTTTTTATTAAAATCATTAAAATTAGCTTTAAATTTAAAAGTATAATATAATTTTTCTTCAAGTTTTTGCTTTTATATATATATTTCCAAGTTATTGATCTTTTAAATATTGATTATATAACTTTAAATTAACTATAAATAATAAAAAAGTATATAAAGAAAAATGCTTGCCAAAATCTTTTAATAGTTATTAAACTTGATCAAAATTATAATAAACTATTAGTAAATAGAATGCTAAAAATTTTTTAAATTTTAAATTTGTAATAATTAAAAATAATATACACTCTTATATTATATTATTGGAAATTAAAAAAAAAAATATAATAAAATATAGTAAAATTGACATTATTGCTTTATATTAAAATTTGTTATTTTATTAATAAATATTTTTTATTTTTATA